GGCAGAGAGAGAGGGAGGAAGCAGGCTCCCCGCTGAGCAGAGAGCCCGATGCGGGGCTCGATCCCAGGACCCTGGGATCATGACCCGAGCCGAAGGCAGAGGCTTTAACCCACTGAGCCACCCAGGCACCCAAGATTTTATTTTTAAATCGTCTCTACAACCAACATGGGGCTCCAACTCACAACTCTGACATTGAGTCGCGGGCTCTACTGACGGAGCCAGCCAGGCACCCATTCATTTTCTGATTTAGATAATCATGCTGTGGTTATCTAGAATGTTCTTATTCTTAGAAAACATACGCTGAAATATTTGTGTCAGTGGACATGATGTCTCCATCTTCCTCTCATATGGCTCAAAAAATACTATACACACACGAAGGGTGGTACAGTAGATGAGGAAGAGTGTGAAGGGTGAGCATGGGTAAAGGTACGAAGGAGCCCCTTCTTTTCACAACTTTTCTGTAAAAATCAAGTTACAAAAATATTTACCCTCTTACAAGTAAAATACAAAGGTATACATTATAAAATAAAGGTACACGATATACATTCTATCATTTTTGAACCAGGTGATGGTTGCATTTTACGATTTGTAAATTATGTCTTTAAAAAAAAAACCTAATTGAAAGGGTATGCATAGGTCAATAAAATGTCATGATGCTTTACTTACCACATTTGCAAGGATTTAGCAAAACTCATCAGTAACACCGACCTGAAGTTCTGACTGACAATTGTGTTTCTGATTAATAAACATAGGAATCATTTTTTATAAATAAATACAGCTCATTTGAAATTGAATCAACTTGCTCTTAACAGTTTAAACTCAATGAAACTGATCCGGTTTCAACCAGTTCAAGTGTCTCAAATCGGACTTCAACTGGATCAAGCCCCTTTGAATGACCCTTCCCAGTTTCAAGTCTTCAACTGAGCAGTTCAGAGCCTGGGTTCTGGAATCAGATAAAAACCCTGCCTGTATCACTTCTTAGCGCTTAGTCCTTGGGCATTAATTTACTTATCCTTTCCAAATCTGTTTCTTCATCTATAAAATGAGGCTAAGAGTACTTCTCTTACAGAGTTATAGAAATGAAGCATTAGGACGTATGTAAAGCCTGAGAACAGTAAGCACACCAAGCCCGTGCCCCATAAACACCATTATATATTCACCCGAAGTGATCAAATTAAGTTCTGTCTGGCTCAGACTGGCTGGACCAGGAAGAGGGAAAGAGGACTTGGCTGACAGTTGATAATGAGCTCCTTTTTCTAGTCCCAGTTCTTCCCTATTAAAGACTCCTCTTCTGCCCACTCCTGAATTCCTCCAAGAATTCTTGACACCGCCTTTCCCCACTTACATCTCCTGGCTCTGGGCTCCAAAGTGAGGGTCACACAATTGAAGCCAATTATCCTGAATACAAATGCTCAGTCCCCATGCTGTTTCCTACCAGCCCTGAAGCTCCCTGAGGTCTCAAATTTCCCTTCTCCTTCCTCCGTGTCCTGTCCCCCTGCCCCTGCTGCGTACTGGGTGCTCACAGCGAGTAACTTTTAGCTCAGGCTGTGTCGGAAGGGGAGTGGGACACAGTCGTGGGACAGAGTGAAAACAGAGGACATTAAAACTTACTCATGAAGATGCAGTGTTTTCTAACTACTTTTACTTTGAGTTTATTTGGTTACGAGAAACTCATTGGACACATCATCTTCTTTCTCACATCTTGCTCATTTAGACTCTAAGAACCGGACTCCTTGAGCCCAAAGATGATGCCCTTTCTGTTCTGCAACAGTCCCCTTCCCACCCTTAACATCATGTGCTCCGTTCTGACTCAAAGAGCAACCACCTCTTTTTAGTTCTTGTGTTAGCACATATGTTTACCTCTCAGGCCTAGAACGTAGGAATTCTTTTCTGCTCCCTTTACAGAGAAGGAAGTCACTCGGGGAGTGAGTGGTAGAAATGGGAACTCGAACCCAGCTCCTTGGTTTCAAATCCTATGCTCTTTCCTTTATAGTCCTCCCGCCACATCCTCCCTCCCCAACTGTCCTCTTCCTTCAAGGCACTTCCCGGCTCTAACAGCGATCGAGGACGCTCACATCCGCTCCACACAGGCTCCGTGAACAAGGGAGCCTCCACCCCACTCCCGCCCAGGTCGGTGTTCCCCCTGATCTCATCCTTTGCTGTCCCAGGCGAAGTGGTGCTTGCAGCACACTTTAAAAAAAAAAAAGTGGTGATAGCTTCCAGATGAGCTTGTTATTCTAAACTTAACATTCCTTTTGGTACTTAGAATTTCCACTTTCTCCATTCCACAGTTTCGCATTTCTGTAATTAGAAAGCATGCAACAGGAAGCGTGTTCGAGTCTCCCGACCGCTCCGGAGGAAGGCCGCCCCAGCCCCACGGACGACATCCTTGTGGAAATACTTCGCAGACTTTATTTGGACATGTTCAAAAATAGTCCCTCAACAATACAATCAGACTGAACCATGACAAGTAAAATGTAATTATGGCTTGGTTACAATAAAAAAAAAAAAAAAGTAAACAGTGAGGCTTGGGAAAGCTGAAAGCAAATCTACATAGATCTTTCCTTCCGTTCCCAGTCTCAGGGTTTCCTATAGGCATGATTTCAAGACGGAGTCCTGGGATCTTTTGAAATGGATGAGAGGGGATGACACTCGCTTAAGGAAACAGCTAAGCAAGAGAATGTCTGAGGCCATTTCTCAGAACAAAGGCCCACTTCTACCTAAGGCCAAAGCAGCCTGATAAAGGCTTCCCCCAGTGGGTACTTGGAATGCCAAAGTCATTCACCTAAATGAGTTCAAAATACATATTGTTCTGGGCCAAATTATACAGTGTCAAGCTCAGACTGTATGAATTTATATATGTTGGCAGAGCAGGCCACTTTTGGGGCGCCACAGCCTTATCCAAGTATCCTGTGCCCAGTTGGGTTCCCAGCACTCTCTCCCCGAACCCATGAATTTCCTTGTATTTGGTTCCAGAAGGGCAGACAAGAAGCAAAGTCAAAGCTTCACAGCCCCACAAGGGAAAAGAGCCCCAGAGGACTTGAATTTCTAATGAAACTTAAAGTAGAACAGAACGTGTGCCTTTGCCAACAAGCTGGAACTTTCTGAAGGTTGATCTGAGATGGGGGCAGGGAGTGGGGACAAGATCAGGCAACTGTGCTTTGGGCCAGTGTCTGCTCAGAGCTCCAAGGCCGGAATACAAAGTGCTCTGGAATTAAAGCAAACAGCCAACACTTCCTCCAGCCAGCCTTTGCCCGGAATCAGTCCCTCACAGAGCTGACCAGTTTCTCAAACACAGAAGTGGTATTTCAAAGATGCTGGGCAAAAGGACCCTCCAAACATCATGCCCAAGCTGATAACTAAAGCAAGACAGGGAAGCCTCCTTCCAGTTTCCATTTCCACTCCATATCCTTCTGCTATCGTTCAGAGAACCAGTGGGCATGCTGTTTTGTTTTTTTGTTTTTTTTTTTTTTTTGGAAAGGAACCTGTTATTCTCCTCTCTGCCTGAATAAAGATAGAAAAATTGGAGGGAAACAGTAACTTTTAAAGCAAATATGAAGACAAGAGTAAGGGATGAGGCAGGCTGCAAAGGCATTTTTTTCTTTTCATGACATGGGTGGTCTTGGTCACGGAATGAGAGGGGGTGGAGTACAAACCAGCAGAATGGCTACGGGGAGCCACGGCCAGGACTTCTAGTCCTGGGCTCAGGCCCACTTTGAGCTTTAAGTGATTCAACTCAACAAAAAGGCCCAGAGAGCAGAGGAGTCTGGACAGTTCGCAGGGCAAAGAGTCACTGCTGCCTGTTTTGGTTCAGAGTTTAGCACCTGCTTCTGGAAGGGGGTGGGGGTAAGGATGACGGAGGGAAAAAAGAGACGGTGTTTCTACCCGGAATCTACTCATTACGACACCTGCAAGAACCATCTAATCGATGTTCCAGGACTGGGGTCAGACGCTAGTTCCACCCCAGTGCCTGGCCTCACCCTCCACACCTCTCCTGGCCCCTGCGGACCTCCTAGTCATTCCCCAATGACCACATGCACCGCGTGACCCAGCGCCTTCACGGAAGCCACCCTCCCGCTCTTCCTTGCCTGGCTCGAACGTCCATGTCAACTTTAAGAACCGGTCCACAGTATCCCTCCTCCAAGAGACTGCAGGCCCGGCCTTCCAGCACACTCCAAGTGGCTCGAGGGCAGAGGCTGTGTCTTACCTTTCCTTCTATCTCTGCAGCTTGGAACGGTGCCTGGCTCACACGAGATGCTCCACCCACACGTAACAGGATGAAGAGACCCGTGGGATGGAGCTCTGCTCATCTTCACTTTATTGTAGACAGAAAACACAATAGGAAAGACTGAGCTCTCTCCGGGTTTCTACACTTTCTCAGAAGAAATTGCTGCGATATTACTTTTGCGTCCAGCCTCCTTGGTTCAAGTGAAACCAAAGAAATAAACTCACAGACGCCATGAGAGGCGGTCCCTCTGTCCTCAACCTTCAGCTGCTGGATGAAGATGAAATCGCCCCTGAACATGGCCTTCCAGCCCGGGGGGTGCGTATGCCTTGAGCTCTCCCCGCCTCCCAGGACGAAGCCCCCAGCGAGGTGAAGCCTGGGCTGGGCCCAGCCCCACAAAGCTGCTGGCAACCATGACAGGGATGGAGTGAGCCACCAACGCAGCCCCGTGTGCACCCTTCCCCACAGCCGGCCTTGGGCCTCGGGCTGCAGGCGCCTCTGGAGCATGCCCCGTGGGGTCTATGGTGAGAACAACACACAGATCTTAAAAGAGCCGCTACGGAAGGCGAGTACCTCAAAACACAGCCGTGGCCTCCGAGCACCAACTCAGCGAGGCAGAGGCGGCCGCGACACCACCGGCAGGGGACGAGGGGGCGGGACGCACAAGGGCTGCGGTTTCAGGAAGGCTCGCGGGACCAGGAGGTGACAGCTGCTGGCGGTTCTGACACAGTCTTCCTGAGGCTCAAAGACCAAAGGCAAAGAAACGCAGGCGATGCACCGGGCTGCCTATTTTTAATTTATTTTTTTTAAGACCACCTCCTTGCAATTTCCAGAGAGAAAATACAAAACAAGAAACAGACTTCATTTCAAATACGAGAACAGCGTGCTGGAGTTTGAAGCATTACTGATAACATCGTTACAGAAGAATGTCAGCTTACTCCAGGCACTTCAGTATTCCTGAGGAATGAACACGATTTCTCTTTTCCTCCCACTGGGATGTTCTCAGGCGTAAGTCACTGCTCCTGCTCCTAGAAAGTGAGGACACTGATTAGAAGTGCGCAGACCCCATGTGCACAACCATCTCCCACCCACGGAACCAAGGGGCCCCAAACCTTGACGCCTGACCTGCTTTACAGAGCAGTCTCACAAGAGAACTGTGAACACCCTTCCCAGGGCCTCCAGAGTGGCTCCCCAATCCTGGGGGGCGGCCAGGGGGGAAGGCCCAGAGTCAGGACCCAGACAACTGTTCCTAAAACTCGTCCAAGGGCTGCATCACTGGTAAGCGGACACCGCGCGGCTCTGGAACGGATCAGCCCAGTACCAACGGGAAGACTGCGTTTTCTCCTCTGCTGAAGAAGGGTAAGGAAAACCTCTCCCACGAGTCTACTGGGAGGGCAGTCTCGAGAAAGAACAGACAGCCGAGGCACCTAGGAGGGCCCACAAAGGTGCAGTGCGCCCTCGGCTGCCAACGACTGTGAGAGGACTGCCTGCGCTGCGCCCCTCTCTGCGGAGAACGGAGGCTGCCCAGAGGCACAGACTCAAGTCCAGATATGGCTATAGGGCCATTCTGGAGCAGTACACACAAAGGCTGTTAAAAAGGAACAATATTTTCCACAGCAGCTCCCAGCCATGAAATGTAGAATGTGCATATAATCACCCCTGAGCCACACTATCCACGACAGCTCAGGTCTGCAACAACAAAAACCTTCCAAACAATTAAAAGACCCGAAGCTCCTCTCTGGTTCCCTTCTGCTCTCCCCAAATCCAGCTGTGGGGCCAAGAAAGCAAAGGGTCAGGGGGTGGTGGAAACTGCCTGTCGTTGGCTTTGGTGTCACACAGCCGTGCCTCTTCTCGTCCCTTCGAGGACCTCGCCTGGGCTCTGGCACAGGGACCGCCCACGGAGGGCGCCCAGGCTCCCCGGGCCGACTGCTCTCGCCACCCCCAGTTCTCTGGCAGAGCGTGCGGGCTGGGGGCCCGGCGGGCAGCGGGCAGTCCGAGCAGGTTCTAAAACAGAGGCCACTGAGCTGTGGTGGGGACTGTCCTTTGAGCTTTGGGGACCCTTGTGGCTCTAGCTTTCAACCAGAACAGGGACACTCAACAAAACGGCATCTTCTGCTCTACCTGTCATTTTGGTGGAATGGAGGGTAAATCAATCCCTGTTTCTCGGCGGGCCTCGACTATTACCGCCGGCATTCCTACAGATGCGGCACCTCGCAGCTCCCGGTCGTTCTCACACCCCTGCTCACAGCAACCACATAGGCGGAAATCATGACCCTCATTTTACAGACAGAAGCCAGAACCTCACGAGTGAAAACACACAGGAGGCGAGTAGTGGGAGGCCCGGGGCCCACACCTCGGTCTCCTGGCTTCTCAGCCCTTTCCCCTCGCCTCCCTGCTGTGCCCAGATCATAGCAACTCTGGCTCAAGGGTGACCCAGAAAGGAGAGGGTTCCATACGTCTAGGGAACGGGATGCTCCGCACCGAAGCTGGTGTTGCTGTGAAGGCTATGCCTTAGGAAGCTCGAGGCTACCCACATCTACTAGGATACCCGGTTTACTTCACTCTGTCATTTCCTATTTGAGTGTCTACTTTGTTCCGGGCCCTGGGGACACGAAAGTAAATACCACCCTTGTCCTTGGGCACCTGGCCTCCCATGATCCTTTCCCCCAAACCCGGCAGAATCAGTCATCAAAAGTAAGGCAACGGGAGGCGCCTCAGGAGACGGGCTACCTTCTCCCTCCTGAGGTGCGGGCCACAGGTTCTCATCCTGCCGCCATTACTAAAAGTCCACCTGCAGACAAGGACTGCAGCAGAATCAGATGGGACTTAGAGTCAAGAACCTCCCTTCCGCAACAAACAGTGGAAGAATGCTGAGTCCCAGCTGTCCTTCGGTTTGGCTGGAGCCCGTGTGAGATGCTGACACAGCACTCTGAGATCTTGAACCTCGGGGCCCCTTACAGACACTCAAGACGAAGCTGCTGCCCGCGATGACAGGTGGTTCCCCTCTGCCTGCAGCGTGAGAGCGCACGCGTGAACGCACAGGTGCGTCTCAGGCCGCAGTGGGAGGGAGGGACTTCAGGCACCAAAGCGGTGTCACCATCACTGAAGGCCAAAGAGCAATTAGGAGCTCAGTGGCGCCACGATGACATGCACCGTTTATGAATTATATATGCTCCGAAGAATTCTTCAGGTCCTCTGGGGAAATTCCTTGCCTTTTAAAAGAAAGAGAACCATCAACTCTATACGTACTTTGACGTATTTTCCGTGTAGAAGATACGGAGCCTGGAAATCATGCTGACAGTTGGAGTAGGCCATTCCCAATCCCATGCCAGAACCAAAGGCTAATGGCCACATTCTCCCTGGTGAACAGAAAAAGGAAAATCCCAATAGGGAGCCATTAAGAGAAGATAAAGCTTTTTCTCTGGCTTAAATACACTTGCTTAGGGCTAATAAACATTCAGCATGCCTCCTACTGATAACTGTAATGTGCCATACGGTTCTATCGGTGTTTAATGAACAGTGAAATGCCACTGAATTTATTAATTAATACTTGAATTGAATTAATACTTGAATTATTTAATTATTTAATATTAATTAATACTGAATTTATTAATTCAGCCAATATTTATTAAGTACCTGCTGGGTTTGAGGTCTTAACAAGTGGTGCACACAGCAGACATGGCTGAACCTTTTAATTTTTATATATATCCGTTCTCATCATTTGCTCATTTTAACTCATTTCTCAACCTTATCAGAAATACCACCCTTGGGGCGCCTGGGTGGCTCAGTGGGTTAAGCCTCTGCCTTCCGCTCAGGTCATGATCCCAGGGTCCTGGGATCGAGCCCCGCATCGGGCTCTATGCTCAGCGGGGAGCCTGCTTCCCCCACTCTCTCTCTCTGCCTGCCTCTCTGCCTACTTGTGATCTCTGTCAAATAAATAAATGAAATCTTAAAAAAAAAAAAAAAAAGAAAAGAAAGAAAAGAAATACCACCCTTTGGGAAGATGCTTGAATTTTAAATGGAATCAAGTGAATTTTGATTGCAGCAAGTCATAAAGCCTATATATGCCAATACTGCACGTGATTAGTTTGTGTCAGCCCTGCCTGTTAGGATTCTCTGGTCATGTGTTCCCCGCCCATTCGTCACAGAAAGGGGTCAAAGGGAACCCTCTGGCTTCTATTCAATAACCAAACTTCAGAATGAAAGGGATACTGCCTGACCTTTGCTTAGGAGAATTTCTGGACAAAAAACATGTGTGTTTCTGGTCCACTTGTTTTTATGACCAGCAAGACTCATTTTCAAGTTCCTTTAGAAAAACTTATAATTAATTAGAAATATTTGAGCATGTAGATTTGGCCAAGTGACTCACTGGCATAAAGTAGAGGCTTTCAGATGATATCATATTGAAGATATCAGGCACCCTGACTCAACGCCCAGGGGGGAGATCTGGAGGTGCCCAACCCACTCTGACCTTTTCCAAGTCCACGTTCTCTCTCTAGCACTTTTGACAGTGGCCTACCTACACCCATAAACGGACAGGGTGGCAACCAAGTAGCCATGCCCTCCAGAAGTGTGCCTGCTGTGTCTGTGTGTGTGTGTGTGTGTGTGTGTGTGCGTGTGCGTGCGCATGCCCGAGGACATAATGTTGAAAAGACAGTAAAAGTCACACTTACTTTTAAAGAAGGTAAGTGAGAAAACAAGTCCTAATCCAAAACCAGTACCTACAAGGAGGGAGGAGAAACACGTTAAATCTTGTAACAGTAATTTAACAGAAATAAAATGAGCATTTCATAACTGTGAACATCTATAAAACAAATTCTTTTCTTAAATAATTTGGTACCGAGTTGATTTTCTCATTTCTAACCTTATCGTCAGAGGCTTTCCACATGCCTTTGGTCCTTCTGCCTACAACAGGGGAGAGAAACTTTACTCCCAATTCTGTCTAGACAAGTCTGGCAGGGCAGGGGGAACAAGCCAAGAGACAATGCTTGAGCCGACGCTCTGGGCCCTGCTTGCAAACGGCATCTGGCATTCTGGGCGCGCCAGGCCCTCTTCCAAAGGGGTGCCAGAGCTAGAACATCAGACTGTAAACAATGTCAACCGGAAGTTCCCCTGTCATTGCAGCATTTTGAGTGATGGCTACTTCTTGAGGAATAGGAAAGGAGTGATCCAGAACATTCACAAAGGCTGTCACATGTCAAGACACAAGTCAGAGTCCTCAGTCAGAGGGAAAGCGTTTCCTCAAAAGCCCCGAATGTGGAGATTAGTCCCCTTCCCTTGTTTTCACTCACAGGGCATTTTCAACCACGATCTTTCAAAATAAAAGAACAGATGCAAGCCTATTTTAATGCTCTGGTAGAAAAAAAATTAAATACGTAATTTTCAATCAAACCTCACTCCTAGGAACCTAAGCCTGTGGGGGAAAACGACCAGATCCTCATTTTAACCAGTATTTCTCAAACCTAGTCATTTGAGCACTGCCATCACAATTTTCGCTAAATCTACATTATCTTCACAATTACTTGTTTACTTTAAAAAAAAAAAAAAGAAAAATCAATGCATGTATTTAATTAAATGAATTTGGTGTAATCATAACTTTGAGTGCTAGTTATATCTTTTTCATAAGATGTGTTAAAATGAGGGGTGCCTGGGTGGCTGAGTCGAAGGCTCAGGTCATGATCTCAGGGTCCTGGGACTGAGTCCCGCATTGGGCTCCCTGCTCTGCGGGGAGCCAGCTTCTCCCTCTGCCTCTCTCTCTGTCTCTCATGAATAAATAATTAAAATCTTTAACAAAATGTGTTAACATCAATGTAGAACTATTAAAATAATTTTTTTTTTGGTCTGTGGTACCATTTTAAGGGAAAAAAAAGAAAACCACATGCCCTCTGCCCGTACAATAGTGATACATGGCCTAAAGTTTGAAGTAACTAATTTTTCTATTATCGAAACAGTTACATACACCAAGGAAGAGTGCCAAGGCCTGATTTTCTATTCGTTTTTCAGACATGACAACTGTTTTCAGACCTTCCAGGGTATTCTGAGGTTCTTGACAAAGAGTCTACTCCAGAGACCAACGGAGCCCCCAACCAACCTCTTTACAATTAAGCACCACAAGAAAGTCCTGATTCTCACTCTACCTTAATAGTTTTCCGATTTTGGCTGTTGGAATTCCATGAGTATCTTCTCTCTCTAACCATGACCTTGGGCTACTGCAGTGCAAACACTCCGCATACTTCCTGGCTACTGGCCTGACCTCTCTGCTCCAAACGCAGAACGTCGGCCCAAGCGAGCTCATTCACATCAGTTTTCATCCACCCATGCAACCACCCAGCTGATGGTGGCCTGAAGAAAGTATTTATGCCACTTACCGAGAACGATTTCTGATTATTTTCGTCTGCCACATAGATGTGGCCACAGCACAGGTCTCTTCTCCATGACTACTACATCCTACACAAATAGGAGTTTTCATTACAAGTCGTGACTTTGCCCTGTCCGATAGACCCTGCATGAGGTCCGGTGCTCAACTCTAAAACGCAGTATCTGAAAATCACTCATGTCACCCTACTGTCCATATAATTTATAATACAGTGGAAAGCTCATCAGTTTACAGACCACAACAGTTAAACCTGTTCAAAGCGGACATCATCTGAAGGAAAAGGAATTAACGTTTTGGTATTTCCCATGAGTACCCACCATTCTCTCCCCACCCTGCCCCCAAATTCTCTTTCAAACCAAACGACAAACTGACACAGTAATATCCCCCATTTTTCAGGTGCAGAAAATAATTTGCTCGAGGGTACTCCGTTCGGTGAGTGGAAGAGCAGTGAGTAGGGACCAGATCTGCCGGACTCCAAAGCCACCCTCCCAGCTGTCCTGACACTGGAGTCTCCTACAACTTCAACCCCCACACAATCCCCACCTCCCAAGGGAAAGCTGGAGTGTCAGGATCTCTACTGCCTGTGAAGTGAGATATGGCCAAAAACCAAATGGTGCTTATCAGGCAACAGCCCAGAACGCTGGGCGACCAGGGCAGTAACAAGTCTGCACAAGGCCCAAAGGGCTTGTTCAGATTCCTTCCCAGACTAATCCTACTGCACAGGTCACAGACACAAGTCCACCTGGTAGGTGAGATCCAAGAGCTTCGGAGAAACGCGAGCTGTCGTGACGGATACTCCTTGGCGAGAATCTGCAGTTGGAGATTTATAAAATGGCACTGGGTTCAATTTCAAAGCAACTTGCCTCACCCCCTTGCAGCTGGAAGATGAGTAAGAGAGTAAATTGGTACTAGAAAATGAGGTAAAGGATTTGGACTGGCTTACAGATTTCAAACCAGGCAATGGGATGGGGAGGTAGGCCAGTAAAAACATAATGGCTTACAATCAGAGCTTTGGTCTTCTCCATCTGGAAGGCAATGTTTTGGCAAACAAATCAAAAGCCCAAAAGGAAAATATTTCAGCATTTTTCTTGTCCCTCTGACTCCATGCCTGTCTCTCCTACTTTTCCCCAAGGAAAGAAAGCTCTCAGACGCTCAGTTTTTCCAAATAGTAGACCAAGAATGGTCTATGAGAATCGCTCATCACAGAGATGAGAAATGTGTCGACACCAATCAAGAGAGCCCAGGAAATCTTTACTCTGGACACTTAAGCTCAGGTATATGCCCAACACCCAGTTCTGCTCCCAGCAAAAGCACCTCTCCCCAAGTCTGAGATGCAAATCCCGGTTCAGACTAACCCAAAGACAGAGTGAGCTCCACAGCCTCCAAATGGGCTGCTACCTCTTCAAGTCTTAATAGCGGTTTCTTTCCCCCTCTGTTTCTGTATTTTTTAAGACACAAAATAACAAGACTGTTCTCTTCAGAAAAATATAATACAGAAACTGACTTTTTCAATGCCAATGTTTTATTTAAACTTAGCTATCTGAGTTATTTGCGAGATTAGCGATGGTGGAGCCGCCGATGAGTTTACGGGCTCAAGTCCTCACATGCTGCATTTCTTTTAAAAGGCAACACACTGCTTCAAAGAAAGTCCCACCTGATCCAGGGACACCCACTCCGCAGCTGTTTCCACTAAAGATTGGCACCTCTAGGCCACATTTAAACTTCATAACAATAAAACATGAAAGGTTTGTCTTATAATAAAAACAAACCAACATGGAAAAGAGAAGAGTTTTCTCCGCCTTTGGCCACTTTTTTGTATTGTTGCATGACAAGCTCTCTTAGAGGAAAAAAGCCAAAGGAAAAAGTACAAAGCATTTTCACCTTCCCTGGAAGCAAATATTTAACTATGAATAAAGTTTATATAACTTCACCTTCCCCCCACCTCAAGCCTGGTCTTTTGCTCCGTGCTGTCTGGAATGACAAATCACCCTAAAGGAAAGAAATGCCTGATTATAGGTACACATCTTCCTTGTGGCAAAGTCCAGTTATGAGGGGAAGGAGCGGGGGCAAGGCAAACACACACACACACACACACACACACACACACACACACAGAGGAGCCTTATGGAATTGACATTAGGCAAGGAGCCCAAGCTCCAAAACCATTTCTTTTGGAGAGGAAAAAGAATTGGCACCAACTCTTTCAAAAAGAAATTACTCCAAATCAATCTAACCCGGCACTTCAGTGCATGCCCGGTGCCCAAAAGGACATCATAGAGCTGGCTCGCAGAGAAGCACAAATGTTAAGGGAGGACCAATTCCTTAGGAGTTCATCTGATACTATTTTAATAACAAAACAAGAAAGAACTCACTCCCACTAATGACACATAAAATACATATAAAATACTGCCGTATCTTATGCCCAAGAAGATTTCGTAACGGGTTTAAAAGAATAACAACCCAAGGCAGTACATCCATGGATGCCTGAAGCCACGTTCTGTGCAAGGAAGGGGAGGACATAAATGTATGCTGACGGCCATTACGGTAACATGAGGACAACTTCCGGTTCCCACTTTATTTAGAGAAGTCTTTGCTCGCACCATGCCACCTAGCATAAAGCTTTACTTCACTGCGAATTGTTAAGAAGCATAATCAGCAAGAATTAACAAGCAGACTACACAATCGGATTGCAGTCCTGGGGTAGAAGTGTACTTTGGATGCGAGCCCCTACACAGAACAAGTTGTAGCAATTTACTCTCCTGAAGCACCCACATGGTAAAAGCTGCACTTGCCAACGGACTTGCAGCCAGGGCGAGGGACTCTTTGGAGGGGCACAGAAAAAATATCCTCATTAAGTCACTTAGAAAACATTTCTAGGAAAGATGTCGGTGGGGGGCGGGGGGACCATGGGCCCACTTTAGCAATAACTTATTACACGATAATTTAGCTCTCCTTCCAGCTTACGTTTAGCATTTTATTTTGACTTTTCATTTTTATTAGTTTTTAATTTTAATTCCAGTATAATTAACAGTGTTGTATTAGTTTCAGGTGCATGACACAGTGATTTCAACAATTCTCTCCATTACTCAGTGCTCATCATGAGAACTGGACTCCGATTTCACACGTTAAACAAAGTGCCTAGATTCCAAGCCTACTGTAGAGTTATCAATGGTAAGATCTGACCCGTATCGAAAAATTAAGTAAAACTGCAAAGCAACTCCATTTTAATTTAACTTATATTGAAATGTAAGAGTAAAAACTTAAGTACCATTGCAACGGGCAGTTTTGTGACCATGAGAAGCTCCAGGAATTCCAAGCAAGTTTTTTAGATTCCCTAGAAGCCAC